CCCAATTTTTAAAAAAGGATAGAGATGTATTAAATGTGGTCCGGAGAATAGCAACCAGGATAGAAGTCATCTCAGAAGCAACACCTTTGAGGAACAGATGAAAGTGCTGGCTGTATTTAGCTGGGAGAAAAGTCTTAAGTCTACAGGTGATAGCAATCTTTAGATATCTGAAAGGCTGTCATGCTGGAGATGGAGGAAGACTATAATGAATGGCTAGCAATTGCAGGGAACTGAATTTTTATTGGAACATTGGGAGAAACTATGCAGCAGAAAGAACTGCTTGACAGTTAGTGAAACCGACTGTCTCTGGAGGTGGATGCATTTTCTTCTCTGGAGTTATTTAAGCAGAAGTCCAATTACTCTCCACCATGCTGTAGCTCCATTCTTTATGACAGAGCCTATTTTGAACAGAAGTTAGAAGCGAGTTTCTTTAAAGTCCTTCCCAGCGCTATATTTCTATGATTTATGGTGCAGAAGCAAATAGCTTCCCAAGGTTAATTTTCCTGTGTATGAAGTACAGTACAGTATGCTGACTGGAAGGGAATTTGTGTCTTAAAGTACATATATCCATATCTGTGCCTGAGATTAGATTAGAAAAGGAGCCGCAGCAGTACTCAGAAGAGTCCTTGCAAGATAAATGGGCTGGACATTGTGAACCAGGCAGAGAGAATGGCTAGCAACAGGGAAGAATCTAGTCTGGGTTGCTTTGGAATAGTTTGGAATGGCAGGGCTTAATTAGATTGTTTCTTCCATTTGCATGGAAATCATCCTTGAAGCCCCAGTAGTTGTGATCTGTCCAATCATATGTTGCCATTAGATCACTCCATTTTGGTCTGTGTGGTTCCTACATGGCCCTTCCCTTCTGGCTCCTCACCTTCTCTTTTGCAATAGCTGTCATCTGGTTAGGAAACAGCTTGCTTCTGTTTTCTTGCAGGTGGGAATTGATGCTGGGGTTTTATGTACACAAAGGGGTAAAGTACTGAGTGCCATGTTTGAGTCCCATGTTTCTCCTTTTCACCTTTTTAAAAAATTAGTGGCATAGCTCTGTATTGTTTCATCACTGAAGCACCCCAAGTAAGCTTCAGCTCTCTTCATTTCTGAAATACATTTCCATCTTTAAAAATAAAAAATAAACATTACTGCCTATTGTACTATTGTGTTATGTAGTCTTCATTGACAGATGTTAAGCAACATCAACTTTGCAAAATTGGCAGGCAATAAATGTGTGCAAAGGTAAAGCTGCATAGCCAGGATATCACCTTCAGCCCTATAATTTATAGCACCTGGTGGTGGAATTTTAATTGCTGGGAGAAACGGTATCTATATTTGTATGGTGAGTGTTGCGTATATTTTAACTTTTTTTGTAGTGGTGTTGTCCGGTTTTACCTTGGGGAAGAGCACCTCATTTCGTTGCACCCACTTGTGAGTGCAATGACAAATAAATTTTTTATGTCTTATGTCTTATGTCTTAAGTAATGCACCACTATAGTGGAAAAGTATTTTAATAACAATTTAAAAATTAAAACAAAATGCCTTTTTTCATTTCATTTCAATAAGATGGAAGGTGCTATTGTCGTCACAGCCAGATCACACCCACCTCTACACATCATCATCAATGTGCCACACTGGAGTGATCTAGGTAATTGCACAGCAAGAAAATGGTGTTTATTTGGACCAATCCTAATTATTCCAATTAAACTGTCGGCTCCAGTCCAAGACCAATCTGAGGTGGATTGGTCTCCATTAGGGATGGGTTGGAACACTCTAACAAGAACATTGAGCAGTCAACCTTTTTTAATGCAACCCCAACTGTTCCAGCAGGGGGCTAGAGAGCAAGATAAACTCCTCTGTAGCCAGCCATATACTGTGTTGTTTAAAATGCAGCTTTCTGTGTTTTGGAAGACAAGAAGAAAGCACAACTTAAAATGCCCAGTGCTGCTCTAATGCAGGATTCTAAATCAGCTCCTGATTAGTACTAAAAGATGCTTAGAATTAAGTGGATTTTAAACACAATGTGTAGAAAGAGAGCATTTGGATATTCCTCCTTAATTACACTGCATTTCTGTCAACAACATTTCACAAAAATGTAAGTTATTAGTGTTTCCAATAGTGCCACTCAACAAATCTAAAGAGCGTGAGGGAATCTAGATAGTGCTTCTTACCACATTGGAGACGGATTGTAGGTCTTTTCTTAAACAGGAATACAAGGGCAAATGAAAGCAGAAATCTAGTCTCAGTAGAATGAAGGGACACTTTCACAACTGCCCTCATTGATCACACAGTTTCTCCTGTGTTTCAAAAAAGCTTTTAAAAAACCCACCTCATGTTTCCCTCTAGCTACACATCTTGCTGGGTATTTTGTTTGTTTGTTTTTTGTTTGTTTTTTGCAGCATGGAAGATTCCCACGTTCTTATTGATTGTCATGGATGTTATGCTGCGATAAGGTGTGCATGATGAAACAGCTCGCAGTACGTCCTGTTTCTATCTGCTGTTGATAGCTGATCTCTCCCGCCCCATGTATACAAAGAAAAGTATGGACAGCTATGCTTTCACATTACAGAAACAAAAGCCTTGCCTGTTTGTTAACTACTTGACTCTACATATGAGCCACTGCATGAACAAAGCAAGGTACTGGTATGGTGTTATTGGTAAAGTATTGGATAATGGCCTGAGGTGAATTCCCTGCTCAGCACTGGGTAGTCCTGGACAAGTCAAGGCTGATTCATGCATTCGTGTTTGCTATTTATTGACTGAAACTTCAAGAACAGACTTGCACTAATGAGTGAGCTCTCACAGCTTAATCACTACAGAAGTATTCTTTATCTTACCTACTGTCAACTTAAATGCAATGTTTGTCAGTGGAAACAATCCATATATTTGATCACAACTCCCTAAATGTTTGGTAATTAAAAAAAGACATGTGTGAATGAAACTTCAGCTTGCAAATATAGGAATTAGAATTACCCATTTCAATTACTCCTTCTTGGAGTCTTCCGTGGTCAAAAGACAGGAAATGTGTAAAGCATTTTGCTCACTAGAAGTAGCATAGAAATCATGTATAATAAGAATGGATTCATCCCAGCACTGACACAAAGGAACAATGTATAGTTTTGTTCTGGTATTCTGTAGAAGCTATTTCAATGATGCAATCAGCACCCAAATCAGTTATAGAGCCTCATTTTGTCTATGGCAGCTATATGTAGCATCCTGCAAGATCTGAATAGTACGACCTTACGGAGGTTATTAACTCATAAGATTGCCAAATGGTGGAAGCAACGTGATGGCATGTAATAAGAACAGCATGGGGTGAGCAAGTTTTTTGCATGTTGTGCAAAGTTGGGCAGCACAAGACTGAATGTGCAGTAGAATAAATTATTGCTAACACTAATTTGTATTCAACCTACAGTATTTGCCTCATAGGCCCATTGAAATGCATGCTGAATTGTAACTGTTGAAGCAATACTGGCTGATGATATCCTGAAAATGATAAAGAGCACTTGGTCTAACTCACAGGTGTTCATATATTATAATGCTGGAAGGAGCAAAGACACTTGATGGATTCAAATATGAAAAGTGGAATGGAACATTGATGAAGGAATAGAAGAAACAGGGTTTATTTTACATTTTAAAACAGGGGAATAATAGCACAAAACTCTGGTAAGAGAAGACAAGGATATGGAAGGGTAAGATTGAAAGGCATTGGCTGAAATCCTATTGCTTGGCATAGTAAACCATGTAACAATAGGCTCATTGAATCAGTGGGGATTTGGTGAGTCAATTCCACTATAAATTACATTTATTCCAATGGGTCTACTGTAGTTGTGACTTACTTTAGCATAATCAGTTGTGACTAGAGTAGGCTGGTTTGAATCGATGGAACTTATGGAGGAATTGACTCATCAAATCTCCACTGATTCAACAGACTCAATCTAGTATGACTGATTTCAGCTATTAGGTTGAGTCTTAGAGGGAACTGACCACATTTATGCTACTCGTATCTGTTTTAACGACACAAAAATAGATTAGGAGCTCTTTCTCTTTTTCCTGTTCCTGAAAATGAATGCAAGTAATAGATTATTGCTATACTATTCTTCATGCGATGAGGAAGACCTCATAAATTTCCAGACAACTGTGAAAATAACCACAGTTCCCTTGTCATTTGAAAAGAAAATTGTTTCCTTACAAACACTAGGAATTTTCAAGAGTGAAGTGGGGGCAGGCGCCACGTTAGGTGTGCTTTTTAATAGGCATGCTTAGATAACAATACTCTAGCAGAAATGTTGGCTAGGCTGGACAACTATTGTGTACTCAGCATAACAGTTAAACCTGCTTTGACTATATATTTCCATCAGTATAGACTGGGAAGTGAAGTAGTTTTTCTACTAAATACAGGGTAAAAGAGGGTGAACACCCATTCACCTGTCTGCTTTTAATCCCAGCTTTTATTTTTAGTATGTGACATGATAGAGATCCTATCCTAAATGCATGGTTTTAGAAACAAATGATTTCCACCCTCCACCCCCCCATGGCACTGATTCTCTTCTCTTTATGATGGATGGAAGATGTCAAACATGCTATTTTTTTCCTAAGTAATTGTGTGCCCTCAAATTAATATGCTTTTGGGACTGCAAAAAAAGAGGGGGAAATGTTAGAAAGAAATAGCATATGGGGAATAAAAGGGAAAGGAAATTGCAGGAGGAAGGTTAAGTGAATGGAGAGAAAAGAAAATGAAGGAGGTTTCAGATATGCTTCTATTCTGTCTGCAGAGCCATCCACAACAGTGCTTCTGTACAGAGATGGGATAATAAAGAAGCCATACAGAGTATTTGGGTTCTACAACCTCATAACTAAAAAGGTATTACTGCGAGTGTGGTGTAGTATAACATATAATATTTGGGACTTTGATTGGCGATATCGTCAGCCATCTCAACTTAGACCTGATAATAAAGTTAATGTTGTAAGACAAGATAACTTCATGAAGACTTTATTGAATAATTTTGAGAAATCGCAGGGTATTAGTGAAATAAAGAAACTCATAAACATGTTAATTGTTTGATTTAGAATTGACCCTTAGGTTTCCTGATGGAAATGATTCCTAGCAGGAGGAACAAATAGCTGGGGATTTTAATCTGTTGCATGACATGATGTTGTTCTAACTGTCAAACAACTTTCAGATAGTCAGGCTTTTGTAACTGTGTGACAGGAAGCACTTTCATAAGGAGGTTTCCAGGCAGGATGCACGGCGCAAATAGAAGCGCCTTCCTTCCTGCCCTTCTGGCCGATGAACAATTAGCACAGGGAAAAAACGAGCATCGTGATAAGTAGGCGGATTTTCATTGATGGCCAGTTGGCTAGAATGAGAACAGCACTGGTCATCCTGGCAGCCGCGGTCAGTGATGTTGCTGCTGTGACTCCTCCAGAGGCCTGTCCTGTGAGAGCCATGAATTCGACACAGGGAGAAGCGACTGGTATTAAGGGAGAGCTGCGAATTTCCACTGCAGCTGTGGAAGGCATGGCGAGAGAAGATCGAAGAGGTACTAGAGGCATGGTGGCAATGCTCACAGCCACGAGTGATCTCACTGGATCTGCATACAGAGTAACCATTGCATATTGAAGAATTTGCCAGGTCCATGAGCACAGCCTCTGAGTAGCTGGGAATCAACTGGCGATTGGTGCAGATGTGCCACTCAAGTTCTGTGCTATCCTGAGTGCTAACCCTGGGTATGCGATATCGGAACAAAGGCTCCTCTGCTACAGTAGGCACTCTGTACTCCACCCCAAGAAGTTTCTCTACATGGTAGTGTACATACGCAGTCCGATACTCTATGAAAACTCTCAGTGGCCACGAGATCATCATCAAAGCAGCCACCCAGAAAGCATAATGGGATATATACCATGGGAGATCATCTGGGTCCCCGTATGCCATCATGAGTTCTTTGAAGTCTACATTCTTGAGTTTCATTCCTTCTCTGATCTCCATGTAGTCATCCAGCCCTTCAATCTCGGTGAAGAAATGAGCCCTCTGTGTCAGGTAAGAGTTCTCAGACTCTGTGTTAGCAAAACTGAAACATTTGGTGAATTTTAGTTTTGTAGCTGAAAACAATTCCAAGCCCATCAGCTCCTTAGAGATATCCTTGAATCCGCAGTGAGAGTAGTCAAACTCAGCTTCAGCCACATGGGTGTTCACTCTTTCATGGTAGACCTGGGTAGTTGTATAAGCATCGCCATTGCGATATCGAGTCACCTGTCTGGTTCGTCGGACAAAGTGGTAGCTTATGGCCTTCCACCATATACATGGCGTAGCCTGCTTCATTTTGGCGATCCGGTCGTAAACACTTTCAACGTCAGCCTTGTACTGAAGTTCACTTTTGGCACGGCAATGCCAACACTCCACCAAGTAGACCACATAAAGCATAGCGAGAAATGCTAACGGGATATAGATGTATCCATCAGAGCAAGGGCTGTCATGGTAAATCATAGTTTTGCCTTTGAAAGAACTATCAAAGCTGAGCTTAGTTACTTGTGTGATTTGGCACCAAGCTACGGCCCCCAGGCAGCCATACATAAGAATGGAGAGGAGGAGGCACTTCCATTGGGAGTCTCGGCATATGGAGGAACTCAAAGACTGCTTGACTGGTCGCTGCTGAGAATCAGATCGCAGAAAGATAGATAGGGGGAAAAGAGAGAAAATTTCTCATTAGATCATTTAAAGTACTATACATACAATTAACATAAATAGCAAACATTATATACGGTGTGGTATTCAAATAAGTTAAACCTAGTCATTGTTTCCTTGTGCACTGCTGAGTATATATTCCCAAGAATGGGCTTCTGAGCTATAATTACATTAAATCAAGACCACAGTTTCTAGGCTGCTGTTGATAACTGTATTTTCACATTGCCCTTACAAGGAAAAGGCACATATATGCTTGAGAGATTCTTCACATTTAGGTGTCTGATTTGCTAGCAGACATGGATGAAGTACAATCTTCTCTGGCTTATTTTTTAGATGGGTTGGACTAAAACCGTCCTCATCCTCAGAAAACATAGCTACTACGCTGGCTGGGGATGATAGAACTTGCACTCCAGTATATCTGGAGAACACCAGGTCCAGTAAATCTGTGCTGGTGCATGATTATTATTGCACAGCTAACCTTCTGGTTCACTACATTGAGTGAGAAGCCAGGATAAGAAGCCATTCTGCTTGCAATGTTTAATTTCTAACTCTGACTAGTTACTAAATTAAATTAGTCAAGTGCTCTTAGAACATAATACTTTGTTCCCATAGCAAAATGTCCAAAGTGAGATACTGAATTGTCCATTGGGCATTGCACTCCGAAATCTGCCAGGTCAGCCAATATAGCTATGTAGATTTGG